GGAAATACCCAAGGAGCTACTCTTTTGAGCCAAATGCTCTTGATTTCCAGTGACCATATTTAATTAGCACATTAGCCAAGAAAGGCCAGCAAAAGGTTTAATGTTTTAAAAGATAATTTTGTAACACACAAAGTGCTAATTTCAACAGATCCATTAAAATAGAGAGTACACGAGAAAGATCATTAATCAAAGTAATGATCACTTAATCCATATTAATGTTAGATAGACATCAGTGTTTACAGCACTTTTTTGCTAGTGTTTTAAATCTGTACAAACGAGTTCAAATACTTGAGGAGCTAGTTTCTTAAACTTGATAGAGAACCTTCTACAACTCAAATGCTTACCAGCATAAGCACACATGAACTACCTGTATAATAGAAACAGTTGTTCAAATGTTAACAAGATGCTATCTATGGTCCTAAAATAGGCCACTTCTGAAAAGTCTAATAATTGTGCATTATCACAGTAACTCTATACATGTATTACAGTAAACAGAACAGCTATGCAGACGAGCCATACTTGAAGCCCTGGCACTCACGAGTATGAGGTGATCCATCACAGGACATCCATTTCCAGAGCATCAACAATGTGCGCGGCGGAAGGACGATCTTTAGGATCCTCGTTCGTGCACACAGAGAAGAGTTCAATTACTTTCTGGTACGTTTCATCCAGTTCTTCCATGTTCACAGGTGGCCTGGTTCCCAAAGCTGCGTAGTATGCTTCATCATCAAAGTCGCTTTCATCAAAAGTTTTATCTGCTCGTGAAGGAGTTGGAGGTTGAAACAATTAAAATCACTTTAACTCATGGAAAAGCATAGCAACTGCCCAGACTCACCCTCATGAAACAAGAAGTCATCATCCAGTATGCTTCTCATCTCGCACAGGCCATCTCTCCAGCTGCCCTGCCCTGATGCAGTCTAGCTCTTGTCACGCGCGGATAGGTCATCAATGCCACCCCCCTTCCTGTGGTAGCTTTCCAATCTTCTCTGCAAGGGGAGTTTTTAGGGTAACTTTTTGCTCCTCTGGGTTTTCTCAATTTATCTGTCTATTCTCAACTAATCTACATCTCATTTGTATGAGATTAAACCAAGATGGTACCAAATGAATCATCAGTATTAATATAATCTGTATCTCATGCCACTAAATCAAGCAACTTGCTCTTTTAAATTTTAACTTGATAGAGAAAATATCGTTTCACAAGCTAATCTTCAGTTCAAACTGAAGAGACTGGGGTTTATGTTAAAAATATGTAGTCATACCTTCATCATCATCATCATCTGGAAGATTAATGTGTGGAATAGATAAAGTCATCATTTCCCACAGAGTGAGGCCAAAGGCAAATATGTCTGCCTTGTCAGTAACAACGCCGTTCTCCTCCAGAGCCTCCTTGGGTTTCCAAGGCTCGGTGCCAATATAATAGGCCTCAGGGTCCGTCACTGAAACAAGTAAAACACAGGTAGGTGGTCATAAGGGCAAGCACCAGAAACCTCTAAGAAAGGCAAACAAGCCAAAGAAAAATGGGCAAGTGATTTAACAGGTAGTTGAAAGGTCAGTAAATATAGCCGGTAAACATGGAAATACACTCAATGTCTTAAGAAGAACTACCTCTTCCCCATCAGATTGTTAAACATTCAACCAGCTGGTCAGTTGGCAAGGGGGTAGAGAAAGCAATTCTCTTAGAAAGGGGTAGGAACATGGACTGTGGATGTCAAGAGTGCAGACTCTGGAGCCAGACTGCCTTGCCTGGGTTCGAAGACAAGCTGTGTGACCTTGAGGAGATCACTAAATCTCCGTGCCTCAGCTTGTTCATTTTTCACAATATGCTGTCTTTCAGCTAAGAGAAGTCTTTCTTTGCTCCTGATTGCTAAATCAGGGAAAAGGGAAAGTGTAGGGGCTCTTAAAGCTTCTCTGCCCAGGAAAGACATAGGTCCACTCACATTTCCATTTAAATTTTAGAGTCAACTTATCAATTTGATTGAAAAAGTCAGCTAGAAGTTTGATTGGGAATGAATTGAATTTCTAGATCAATTCAGGAAGAACGAACAGTATTGTGTCTGTCAATCCACAATCGTAAACTCTCTCTCCATTTACTTAGCATCTTATTTAATTCTCTCAGTGATGTTTTATGGTGTTCAGTAAAGAGGTCTTTACTTTTTTAATGCAGCTTTATAATACTTAACATCTGGTCAGGAAAACCCCCACTCAACATTCTTCCACGGAATTTTCCTGGCTGTGTTTGAACATGTATCCTCAAGGATAAACTTTACATTTGCTTTGACATGGTTCTAAAATCACACAGATCATACTGGGATATTGTAGAATTTATAGACCTTCTAATTTATTCATTTCTGCTTTCCACTTCTTTTAGGGCTTCATGTTTTTTCTGATTTGACCTGAATACTCAACCTAATTTCAAAAAGGTTAAATAGTAAGAAAGGTTTCCTTTGAGTACTTTTAACCACATCAAATAGGTTTTGACTTGTTCTTACAGCCTCAGTATTTTCTAAATATTATGTAACTGGAATATGACTTCTTTCAGTCAAGAACTATTTACAAGTATTTTAAATTCCTGAAAAAGTCAAAGTTTTTTTTCCAGCTGTACTACCAATTCCTAGATTTATAGCACTGAGCTTAATGAATGTTAACTACTAGACTATTTCTACTTTTAGTAATCTGAGGTTTTCTTTTATAACCTAATATATGGTAAATTTTAATAAATATTCAAATGCATAGAGGCTGAAATTAATACTTACCTCTTCTAACATCTTAGTTTTGTCTATTTGATCTATTAAGGATTGAGAATCCTTATTGAAAAGGTTTATGCTAAAAACCTTATTTTTATTCTTTTTTGACAATTTCTCCTTTCATTTCCTAAAGTTGCAACCTTGTAGCAGTTATCTAGCCTCAGGGTCCACGCCAGCTCTGTCTTTATTAGCGATTACAGACATCATTATAAAGTCATCTATTTATCTTGTCTTTTTCTTTCAATTCAACTTGCAAACTTTTACTTTAGCTAGAAATTAAGGAGTATATAAGTTCTAAACCGTATCATTAGCCTTTCCTGTACCTTATATTTACATAAAGAGGCAAATTTAAATGTTACTTATTAAATAATATGTTGAAATCAGAGGCTTTCTCTTGGAGGCTGGCTTTTGGTTCTCATGAGGAACATATCAAATTCCCTGAGAAGAGAATGGTTAATATTTAGAGAAGAATGAGTTGCCGGGACAGGGGGCCTTTATCAGCACCTCTCCTTCCTGCTCCCACTCCAGGTCTTCTAGCAGTTTCCCAAATCTGGTCACTATGCTGATGCTAAATGAATTCCTTCATAACATCTTATAAAAATGTTACTTTCCATTCCCAGATCTTTTACCACTTAAAAATCCCAGTCCAGGTTAGAAATAGTTTCCATGTTTCTTCAGTTAAAATAATATGTTAATAAGAAATCAGTCGTTTATATTATATATGTGGCAAGGGAAGGGCTGAGGCTGAGTGGAAGAGGGACAGGAAAGAAGGGATATTTTTTATAATTTTTTATTTCTGAAGAATGCGAAAGTATTACTTTTTTAAAATATAAAAATTGGAAATTTAAAGATTGTATAAAAACAATTTTAAAAATTAGAAAACTACTTACCAGTCATATTTTCATCCAATGGTAGGGAGACTCCAACATCACAGATCTTAATTGTTTCAAAATCACCTTTAATAACAACATTTGAAGACTTTATGTCTCCATGAAGTAGTTTCTTTTCTTGGTGCAGATACTAAAATAGTGGAAATTTTAACACATCTGAGCAAAAATACCAACTAATAAAAAAAAAATATGAAAACTGTCTAACAAAAACAACAAATTAAACTCCCTTCCTAACCTGTAGGCTTGTACTTGTCCATCATTTTCAAATTATTTAAAGCTAGAAAAGGGACCATCCCAATCAATCTAGTTCTGCCATATTGACCAGAAATCTGAAGGATTCTTTGGAAATTGATGTCTATTTATAGATAAGCTAACTTTTAATTTTCAAACCATTCTCACATACTTTTACATCAAAGATGCTACTGCAGATTTCAAAATACACTGCAGTTTTACTTCAGGCTAGTAATTTTTAGAAATAAGGTTGTAAACTTCATAACGACACAGAGTTCCCGCAAACAAATTGTTAAGCTAATGCTACACGTAATTCACAAGCAGAGGAGGAAGCATTCACATAATCTTAAGATTTTTGTTTTCTATATCAACCCTTTCTTAGAATTGACACGTTGAGAAGTGATGACATTCTTCCATAACCAAAAATGTCCTGCAAAATTTTTTTTTCCTTCATCAGCATTTGAGCACTTACTTTGTGAGCTGGGCCTAAAAATGACGCAGAGACAATTCTTTGTATTTAACTTGGAACACTTACTGTATTTAAGTGTTTCTGATCATAAATTGAATATGTTCAGAGATATATATATAGCGTAACTTATTAACTCCATTATATACATACATTTGAAATAATTATTTATTAAATAATTCAAATTATTAACATAGCTTATCCTCCCCATTTAAAATTGATTTTTCTATACACATTATATATATTTGGAAATATTGCCTTTTTCCAGTTTCATATTTCATGAATCAACTTGCAATTCTTAACATGTAACTTTGACATCAGTATCACTAGGTAATCCATTTTTCAGTCATCTAACAGTTTTCTGGAGCCATAATTACTTGTTTCAGTTATTTAGGATACAGAATTCTTTTACTTCTTATAGTGTGTCTAAGCAAAGGCACAAGAATTTGTTTGCATAACACTGAGAATGCTTTTCATTTTACCTACAGAGGTACATTCATGATGTCCCAAATTTAACATCCCACAAAGCAATCTTTGAAAGACTTGTTTACAACAACAGAGGGTCAGAGTACATCCCCAGGAATTGTGACTCCATGTGTGTTACATTAACTAATCCAACTAAACCTAATGTGTGATCTCTAGTAGCAAAACTACCTGACTTGGGATATTTCAGGCTATGTGAAGGCCTCAAGCAATACTTAGCTGATCAAAGCAAGTAAACAGTGCACTCTTCAATATGAGAGATTCTATAAAGACTTTAACTTAAGGCAACACCCTCTTTTGGGGAAAAAAGAATTCCACCTTGTAATTATGTATATAAAGTATTTAGTCTTTTCATGTTCCACAAAACTCATTCAAAATATACCACACAGTTACCTTTAACCCTCTTGCCATGTTCAAAGCAACTTTTAAAATTATGGCTGCTGGAAAAGGATCTTGGCTATCTTTATTTCGTTCTTCTATTAAGTCATTCAGAGACTTTTCACCTCCGTATTCCATAGCAAGACAAAGACTACCATCGCTGGCTTCAGTGAAAGCACGATAACCTTAAGAAAACATGACATTTCCTTACTGGAATAGGGAAGAACAGCGTTTAAGTTTTCAACAGTAATGTGATTGAAAATGGATCTGGATTAACACTGACAGATATACAATGAAACAGCTATTATTTACAAAACGAATTAAGTGGATCTGATGTAAAATGCCTTCATGTTTGCCAATCATAACACAAATTGAATTATTTTTTAATACTCTATGCCTTCCTTAAATATAAGTTTCACCAGCCCTACTTATATTAAAAATGAAAACAAGGAAATTACATAAACAAAGATCATTTTTTATTCCTCAGTTCCCCATAGTACCAGCATGATGATAACCATATCTATTCCCATGAAGTTTTAAAGATACACTTCAGCATCTAAAAATGCACACTTATTTTTATTTTAAAATGGTCACATTAATTTGATTCTTGACAATCTCCATCACTATCCTCTTCATTTTTATTAGTGAAACTAGTTAAGAAATTATATATAAACTGTCTCTGGATAAACAGAATACTATACCAGATGCTGCTACCAAATAAATCTCAACTTACCTACAATGTTTGGATGATTAAGGCTTTTCAAAATCTTAGCTTCATCAGTTAGTCTCTTTTGATACAAACTTTGATAATGATCATTACATCTGGGATTGATCTTTTTCACAGCCCAAGGAGAATGAGACAAACCTCTTGGAGATCTTAAAAAATAATCAAAAGTGTACAGAAAGGTTAATAACCATAATACATTTCAAATGACTAATAAGAACTTCCAAATTTTGACAAGGACTCGACAGGAATTTGCTTTTTAAATATATATATATATATTTAAAATATTTTAGACTATCACCACTTCTGTTACATATCCTTTTTAATTGGGATACACATAGCCGATAAATCTATTGATTACAAAGAAAAGTCCGGTATCTATTACTGGAGGGGAAGGGTTAAAAAGAGAAAACTAGAAGGAAAAAGATGAAATGTTATAAAGCTTCAACTCTAAACTTACTTTTCTAATTTTTCCATTCAAGTATGTCACACTACCAACTCCTTAAAAAGCTTTTAACCACATGTACCAGATACGAGTTATAGAATGTTAAAGTAATAAACTTTAACGTCTTAGAAACTTAAACGAAGAGATGTACAAAAAACATTTGGCTCATATATAATCATGCAAAGAGTAACAGACTGTTCTTCACCAAAAAATACTGCACCTCTACAGACTAACCAATCCATCTTATATACCTCTCACCATATCCTCAAAGACATGTGTTTAAGGCAATAATAATAAACAAATAAGGAAAAATGTAAATGGCCTATTTTCTAAGAAAACTCAGCCATTTTAAGAATATTTAAGGTATAAATGTTTTGAGGCCTAAATAAAGAGACAGGTAGAGCAGTCAGGGAAAGGTCTGCGCACCTGAGAAGGCAGGCATTTATGAGTACAGCAAATTATGAAGGACAAAGTACATGCAGCATACGAGCACAAGAGCTAGCACAAGAGCCTCAAAAGTTAAAGATCAAAAGTTCAACCATAAGAACATGAAACAACAAACTGAACCAAAAATCCACTTAGCTCTGTACTACCTCATGAGCACAGCTCTATGCTTGCAAGACCTTTTCTTAAAGTCAAAAAACATATTCAAAGGATCATTAGATTTCTTAATTCATATACATCTATCATGCGTAAGTTTATCTAAAACTTCGTTTTAAATATCAGTTGCATTTAAGGATGACCTCTTCCATGTCATTTTAATATGAAAAAGATATTTTTCAACTTTCAACGGGTACTCTGTAGCTCTCAAACACTTAGAATTCAGTGAACAAGTCCATCTTCACTTTTGCCATAACATATCCTAATCTACAGAATGGCAAGAATGTATTTACAAAATCTGAACAAAACTTTGCCAAGCTAAAAGCTGGCTCACTGAAAATACTAATGAAACAAGCAAGTTTCCACTGAGATTGCACAAGGGAAAAAAAATAAAAGGAGGCATAAATAATGTTGCAAACAAAAATGGGGACATAACTACACACTCAGAGATTTAAAAATATAAATGAATAAATACTAAAACTTTTAAGCCAATAAAAGACAAATTCTTAGAAAAATCTCAGAAAACTGATGAAAGAAGAAATGTAATCAAGAGCTTACAATTTTCCCACAAGAAATACAAAGCCTAGATAATTTTATAGGTGAGTTTACTAAACTTTCAAGGAACCTGTCATTCAATATCATATGAACTGTTCCAGGGAATAGAATGAAAAGGAACTATAAGTCTAGTATAGTGTTAATGTTTTAAAAAATCAAACAGGGACAGCAGAAAAAAGAAAATCACAAGCTAATTTCACTTATATCATAGATGGAAAAATTCTAAACAAATAGCAAAATGAATCCATCAGTTTATTTAAAAATGACACATCACAACCATGTTGGGTTTAATCTAGCAATGCAAATTTGATTTAACATTAAAAAATATAGACTTCTGGACTAAAATGATAGCTTGAACACACACATATATTTTGATCCCTCGCAAGCCCTACTTAAATGAAAGCAAATGAGTATTTTAGGACATATGTCCATTGACAAGGATAGAAATAATGAAGAAGAAACAATAGCAACAAACTTTTGGAATTGTGAAAAGCAGATGACAGTAACTGACTTAAAAGGCCCAATGAACTTCTTGAAAGTTATTTAAAAGCAGATGGATTCCTAGATACCCTCCCAGTTCTATATCACCAGGTAGGTGCACATCTCTAGTCCCCAGCTTCTGAAGACTGAAGACTGGCCTTGAGAGGGGGAAAAAGCAGTTCTTCAGCCTGAGGTTGACTGACATAGCTGAGAAGCTGTGAACCACACAGGAACAGAGTCATTCATGACCACATGCAAACTAAATGCTCAGTGAGTTTACACATACACCTGTGCCATCAACAGCCAGATCAAGACATAGAACACTTATAGAACCCCCACAAGACATAGGATGCCATCTTAGAAAGGAAAGCTTTCAGATAATTAATTAAAAACAAGACAGCCAAAAATGAAAAAAATCAATGGAAGTATCAGAATATGAAGTTGAGGAAATCTCCCAGAAAACAGAACCAAAAGAGAAAGAGAAAAATAGAAAAATGGACTCTCCCCACCAAATAAAAGGTAGATCAGACATCAGTCCAGTAATTTCAACATCCATCCAAATAATAGGAGTTACAGACAAAGAACAGAAAAATAGGGGTGAAAACGATCAGAGTAATTTTAAAAAATAATTTCTCAAAAATTAAAGAACAGGAATTTTCAGATTCCAAGAAGCCCACACCCATGCATGTCATTGTGAAAGTCAGAACACTGGTGACAAACAAAAGATCATACAAGGTTCCAGGACAGGGGGAGGACAGAGAACATAAAATTCCCAGATAAAGAGAATCAGCAATCAGAAGGGCTTCAGCATTCTCAACAGCGACAACTGAACGATGTTCTCAAAATTCTGCAGGAAAATTATTTCCAAAAGAGAATTCTAACCCAGAAAAACAAAAAGGGCCATTCAAGTATGAGGGCAAAATGAAAACATTTTCAGAAATGTAAATTCTCAAAAAAGTATCTCCTATGCATCTTTTCATGGGGAGCTACCAGATGTCCTCAACCAAATTGAGATGTAAACCAAGAAACACTAAGACGTAAGATACAGAAAAACAGAGGATCCAATTCACCAGAGAACCGGAGGAAATCTCCAGGCTACCAGCAAAGGGAAAATCCCAGGCTGCCAGGGCCTCACCATGGGGACTGGGAGGATCAGGCAGGAACTGCCATTTTCAGGGTCAGCCACTTGAAGCTTTCTAATTAAGTCACATACAGTATAACTTTGTTAACAACACATTTCACATTTTAAAATATTTTTTAAAAAAGGAAAAGAATGAGCATAGCCGTGAACCTGTGAGAAATCTTTTCTTTCAAAATAACTTAGACAAGAGCCTTGGACATTAAAAAATGAAAAGTTCACAAAACTAATAGCACACAAACACACAAAGGGAATGCAAAAATGCTTCAAGAATATCCACTTACATATAAACGCAATGCTATTCTCATTTCATTAGCTTTTTATTAAAATAAGTATTTCTATTTGGAAACAATATAAACCTAGAGAAGCTAACGGTATGCTGGGTTGGACTAGTCAGGGTGTTCCAAGAGCGCATTAAGCAATACACAATGGTTTAATTGTTTGCCACTTACTAGGTACAGAGTAATGAATAAAAGAAAGAACTTTTTAAAAAAATGTGTTTGTTGTCATGTATAATATTATTAGCTATTAGCACCTACTCTACTATTTCATTTTTCTTTTAATACAATTTTCATACTTTAAAATTGTGCATTTTTGTCCTTCTTAATAAACAATGACATAAGAAATAAAAACTTTTACTTCTTCAGAAGAGAATGCCTTCTCCAGGCAGAAGGGATTAATGGTCACTGACATCCCCCACAACTCTCTGAAGTTTTCCTACTGAGAATCCTGTGTTATTATCACACAGAAACCCTTTTCCTCTGTTCTCATCCCTTCCTACCCAAGCCAAGGAAAAATTATAAGGTAAAATTAGTTCTCCTTTAACTTCAGGAGGAGGCTAGGAGAACGTATACCAGGCAGAGCTCTGGTAAAGTTATGCACATACCCCAAGTCTAAATATTTGAATTTTCACATTCCTTTTTGTCTTCAAGTATAGTGGAACAATATATAGTTCCACGTAAAAACGTTAATCTGAAATCTCACACTTACCTTTTCATAAGGTAGACATTTACCCCAGTACCATAGCCAAGCTTTTGCATAAACGGAGAAGCAGGAATGTTTATACATGGAGTTAAACATAATGCTGAATGTTGGAAAGAGAAATAAAAAATAAAATTAGTATTTGCAAAGACCTCTACAAATGCATCCTAACATCCTGAATCTATTGTTAAGAATGTTAACTGGCGAAGGCTTTTGGAGAGCAATTTGACACTATCTGTCCTCATTTTAAATGGATGCCCTTTGACCAAGTCTAGTTTTGGGGCGCTATCTTACAGCAACATTAAAGCAGGGGTCAGCAAATGGCCTGTTTTCATATGGCCCACAAGCTAAGAATTGATTTTTACATTTTAAAAGGTTGTTAAAAATAAAGACGGTCTCCTGGTTGAATCCTTAGATTTCAAAGAAAATACTAGCAAACTGAATCTAGCAATGTATAAAATACATCATGGCCAAACTGGCTTTATCCCAGGAATGAAAGATTGATTTGAGATTTGAAAATTAACATGTGAACACCATGTGAACAAAATAAAAAAGAAAACTTTATCGTAATATAATCTGAAAAGCACTGGACAAAATTCAATACTCAATTCATGATAATAACCAGGAATAAGAGAAAAATTCCTCAAACCAATAAAGGGAATCTGTGAAAAACCTACATCTAACATAATACTTCATCAGGAACAAGGCAAGTATGTCCACCATTCCCCTTCTACTCAAATTATCCTGGAGCCAGGGCCATAAGGAAAGAAAAAAGAAAGTAATAAAGACTGGGGGGCAAAAACTGTCTTTATTCATCTACAACATTACCAGCTATGTACACCATCCTAAGCAATCTACAAAAAAGCTAATAGAATAAGTAAGTTCAGCCTGGTTGTAGGATACAAGGTTAATATACAAAAATCCATACACTAAAAATGAACAACACAGATCTTCTCCTATGTTATCTTCTAGAAATTTTATAATTTTAGCTATTTTTTCATATGATGTGAGTTCAGGGTCAATTTGCATATGGATATGCAATTGTTTTTATTGGTTGAAAAGATTATCCTTTGTCCACTGAACTACCTTGGAAAATATCTTTCCCTCACAAGAGCAATGCATGTGTGAGAAGAGGGGAAAGGTACAGTAGTTCCTTACTGGTCCCAGTGAAGTTGATTCTTCACCAAAGAGAACCTACAAGTCTGTTAGAATGTCAGTAAAATGAGCTCGTAGATGATCAAACCCTGGCCTACAAAATAAGTCTTATTTCTTAAGATCAATACTATAAAGAGGACTCATACTGAAACGGCTTGTGTATGAAAGATCATAATTAAAGGACCAAACTAAAATAATACAAAAACATTTCTGATAGCAATGACCATGAAGAAAGGTTTTCTATCTATCGTACCAGATTTCTTTTTTTCAAGTAATTTGCTTGGTGTCTTGAAATTATTGGTTTCTTCCATTGTAACGATCACTTAAGGTCCTATGATGAAAATAAACAGAAAAGTTACACTGCAGTTATAAAGAACATCTCTCTCATTCATGAAGAACAAATTCCTGTAATACTATCACTCATTTACATAAAATTTGAGAACTGAAGAAGATCACGACAAATATCTAGTCCAATTTTATTTACAATGAGAAAACTGAAACCCAGAGAAGTACAATTACATACCCAAGGTCATGGTGTTAATGACTGTGGGGCTTTTTGGTTTTAATTAATAAGTAATAGACACACTTGGTTAAAAAAAATCACCTAGTACCCTGCCACACCTCCCGGGAGTAGTCATTAACAGGTCTTTTACATCCTTTAAAGAGAGTGTCGATGCAAGTAGCATTATTCAGAACAGCCGAAAGGGGAAACAGAAATAGCTATCAGATGATAAATGAATTTAAAAAAAGATTATTCAGTCTAAAAGGGGATAAAGCACTGATACACACTACAACGTGAAAGAACCTTGAAAACATTATGCTCAGTGAAAGAATCCAGACACTAGAGGCCACATACATGACTGCTTTTACACAAAATGTCCATAATAGGCAAATCCATAGACAGAAAATAAGTAAGTAGTTGCCAGGGGCCAAGGGGAGGAGAGAATGTGGACTGACTGTAAGTGGATGTGGGCTTTCTTCTCTGGGTGATGAAAATGTTCTAAAATTAGGTAGTGGTTTAATATAGTCAATTCTAACTATTCAAAAAAACATTGAATGGTGCACTTTTAAAGAGTCAATTTTATGATATGTGAATTATACCTCAACAAGCTGTTATTTTTAAATTGTCTATGAAAATATAAAATCTAGACTGCATACACAAGCAAGTTAGTCCAAGCTTTTTATTTGTTCTGTAACATATTTCTTAAAGAATCTTTATTTTTAAATTTTAATTTTTCTTTAAAAAAAGTTAGGTTTCATATTAGATTTATTGTAAAGCAAACTGTTCCTACATGTCTAGAAGCTCATTTGGATTGTCCACAAAAAACTGGGAGGCAGAGAGAATATCTGCTTAAATGTTGTGTAGCGCCCCTAAGACCCCTTAATAATAGCATCTTTAAAAACTCTGTGCCAGGAAAAATAAAAAATCAGCAAAGGCCCAGCTTCAATTGTCTATTATTCAGGAGCCTATTCACTTTTTTAAATGTAGCTACAATCACCACCGTCTTCAGATTTCCCTGAATTTAACTGAAGATCCCCTTCTCATGCATTTGCCAAAAACGTTCTAATTTAATCAAGCGACATGTTTCACTAACAGGAAAGAACAAGTTTCAGATCTTTGGGAAAAGATAAACTATGTTAACAGAGTAGGTTGGAGGAGGCATTTCTACTTTGGAACTAATTTCTCCTGTGAGATTCTGATTCCGCTTCTTCCATCTCCAGCCTTCCTCAGAGGAAGCTGGGAAGGAGCACCTTGAGGCTCTAAGACTTCTCTCCACCCGTGGGAAGCTACTGTTCCCTCAGTCATCACACACGTATGCAGCACGTACCGCACTAGTCACTGGAGACACAGCATCAAACAAGACCCAAACGAAGAGTAAGATAAATATATAAAATAATGATACATAGTCAGGGAAAATATACACCAATGAAGGGAGGCAAAGGGACTTGAAATCTGAGTTAGGGTGGTCAAGGGATGTCTCTTTGAAGGAAGTGAGAGAGCAAGCCCAAACAAGTATCCAGGGGAAGCTGGCCAGACAGAGGAAGCTGTAAATACAAAGGCCCTGAGGCAGAAATGTTCAAGAAAAAGTCTAAGAGGGCAGAGCTAGCAGGAGGGAGAAGGAAACGAAGTCAAAGTCTGGGGATGGAGGATGGCAAATCACACAGAGCCCTGCCGCCATCATGGCCTTGGCTTTTATTCAGAGCTTTAGTCACAGTAAGGATTTCAGCTTTTACTGGGAAACGGGAAGCTATTAGAGGGTTTTGAGCAGAGGAGTGATATACTCTGTCTTACGTTTCAATAGTGTTTATTAACTGACTTGTGTTTATTAACTGAAGGGGAAGGGTGGAGGCAACCAGATCAGTAAGATGGCTATTTCAACAATCAGAAGAGAGAATGGTGGCTTGCATCAGGATGGTAGCAGTAGAGGTGGTGAGAAATGGTTGGGTTCTGGATATTTTGAATCTGGAACCAAAAGGATTTCCTGTTTGGACTGTTAGAAATGAGAGAAAAGTCAAAGATAGCTCCAAGTTTTCAGACTGAGTAACTGAAAGAACAGAGGTGCCTCTGTTGAAACTGGGAACTCAATTTCGAATGCCTAATTAGACATCCAAGGAGAAATGTGAAATAGGCAGCTGGATATGGGTCTGGAATCCAAGCCAAAGATACATATTTGTGGAATATCAGGATGTATGTGGTATTAAAGCCAAGAGACGAGGTAAAATAGCTTAGAAAACAGAGCCCTGAGGAATCTCACCTGGAGAAATGAGGAACAAAAACAGCAGCCTGAGAAGGGACCAGAAAAGTAGGATGCAAATAACCGGGCAAGTATGGCCTCCTGGAAATATTACTGCCTTCTGTGTCCCACTGCCTTCCCCACTCAGCATTAAGGAGGATTTGATACTGAGATAGGCTGGGGCCCGGTACCCGCTACTGGAGTGCCTACTCTTGCACCTGGGGGCAATTATGAACAAAAAGATACAAAAAGGCCACAAACCAACGGCTACTTCTGAGGTGCCGGGAGCAAAAGCAGGGTTCTCTGCATGATCCCTGCACACAGCACCACCAAGGGTGGGCAGACACCTAAGTCACCCCTCCGGCCTGACCCTCTGATCTGTCTCACCCTCACGCCGTTTAAGGAACCAGCCTGCCCCCCCCCCTGCAGAGTGAGCAAGGCCACCTGTTACTTGTTTTCACTCCCTGGCGCTGTAGCAGGAGTTCCAATAAAGCCTTGCCAGAATTCCTCAACTGACCTGACCTCTCTCATCGATTTCTATTGATTAAAGAGTCCAAAGACCCGAGAGAGTGCTAAAAGTAAAATCTCTCTCCAATTAAAAATACCCAAGTTTAAACAGAAGACTTTTAACATTTCATTACATTCAGGATGCTGTAGAACTCAGTCCCACCTTCCACTCCAACCTACTTACACCTAAACATATCATATCCTATCCACTTCACAGTTGTCTAAGGCAGCTTTTTTCACGGTTTAGGCCTTAGTCTTCTGACAGATGGCTTCTGGCCACTGGCCCAAACTCCATCTCAGACTTTGTATACACTGTATACACATTCTATATATATCAACTGCTAAACAGCCAGACTATTCTAAAAGACGAGGTTCTTAGAAAGCACAAAATTGTGAATATCTTAGACGAAGATATGTTAGAAATGAGAGTAATATGAGCGTGGGCAGAATTTCATAGTTTGTTGAGTACTTAGGACATTTTTTAAGTCAACAGGGCTCAGCAAGCTAATCCACAGATCTACTGGATCAAAAGTCAACAACTTTTGGACCCTAAGTCCCCTTAGGACTAAAAAAATACATGAATACTAGTGGCAAAGCTAAAGTGTAGATATGCAGCAGAAAAGGGGAAAAAATGGGAGAAAAAAATAAAGACACTGAGAAAAGAGAAGCATAATAGAAAAAGTAGGATGAACAAGAACAGGAAAGTTCAGATCAGATTATTTCTAAGGTCCTTTACACCTTACACCCTCAGTAGGATTCCCTGAGGCAGATGCATACTGTTTATCCTGGGACCCAGGAGCTTATAGAAGGCTGGCTGCTAAAAATCCTTCCTTCACCTGCTCAGTCGCCTAACTTCAAAACTGGAAGCAACGTTAGTTGAAAGGTTCAAAGGAGGGCACTATGTTTCATACCCCTCTCAAGCCCCACCCCCGTCCATTCCCACTAGAAATCTTTCACCCGGTGTCGCCTCCGCTATGAGCTGGAACCGAGACTCACTCGGCTGAGCTAAGGAACCACAGCCATCAGGCACAAGCCCCAGTGTTTGGATCTGGTCCACAATAAAGGTATCCCCTAAAGACTGGGCCCTCGGCTCAAGCAGAGACCTGGGCCTCCCAACAGCCAGCTGCAAAGCCATTAAAAACAATAGCAGCATGCGAGATCAGGGCTTCCCCCACCCGTCTCAACACCGTCTTCTCCTACGGAGCTTCCGTAAAAAGTACAGGCTGTCAAGCTTTCGCTTCGAGAAAAGGGCAATTTCTTTCTTGAAATCCCCACCCTAACCCGTGATTCAGATGCGCGCTCGGGTTTGGGTTGCAAAGATGATTTCTAAGACAACCCCCAGTTCGACCCCATACTCCCAACGTCTTTGACCTTCCTTCCAGGCCCCCAGCTGTCACGAAAGCAAACGCAGAGTCCTCGGCTGGAGGGGGACGCGCAACCCCCGGCCGGGCCCGCGCGCCGGCAGGACCCGCAGAAGCTCGCCTTACCGGAGCCGTGCAGGGCGGCGACGAGAGATCCAGGCCAAGGCTGTCTTGCAAACTGGTCCCAAGTGGCCCCCAACAACAAGCCGCCGCTCACTCAGCGCCCCACCCACCAACACACGCTCTCGGCAACTGTCGCCGCGACCAGAACCCTCCAGCTTTGAAAAGCCCGCGCTCCGCCCCTGCGTCGGCCGCGAACTACGGGGCGGCGCGAAGGACACACCAAGCCGTTCCTGCTTTTTACGCTCTTTCCAGTCGCTTGCTGGTCCCGTTATACTACCCAATAGGGGAATTTTGAAGCTAAATAAAAGGAAGAGACGCGCAAGAGAAGACAAAGTGATTTCTACAGCCACTGTCAGCCCTTCACAGGGACAATGCTAGTTAACAAAATTTATGCCTGCATTTAAGGCTGAAATGCTTCCCCAGTTGCAAACGCTGTGTCCAGAAGGTGTAATGATTATTATATAAATGTTATTACATATTTATTTGGCCTTGAAACACTATAACTAAAGATGCATTAGCCTCGGGTAGCAATCATTTTTGGCTGAGAAGAAAACAGATATTCAGAAATTTTGGTAACTCTTGTAATCACCACATTCAGTTCAACATTCGTTCATTTATTCAACAAATACTTGCAGAGCACCTTCTAAGTGCCAGGTGTGTATCGAATGCCCACTTCAGAGAATATACCATAGTAGTCACTCCAAGGGGCACAAAGATGAGTAAATTAAGACCTTCCTCCTGTTCAGGAGAAGCTTAGAGCCTATGCAGTCCAGGCTGGGGAAGCCGGGAGCGCCCCAAGAAAAGAACACGCGTGCGCACAAACACACATACACAGCATAATACAAAAGAGACCATTAGTTAGGTCACTATGATCAAAAACCACATTTTTTTCAAATGAGGAAACGATGGCACCGAGAGTTTAAGTAATTTGCCTAGAGTCACAGAGCTAATAAACCATAAAACCAGGATTTAAACTCATGTTAAACTTGGACTTTCTCTTTAACAAATGTGTTCAAGATTTCTTCCACCTTGCGCGCGTGCGCACGCACACACACACACACCCCTCCACCTCCAGAGCCTTCCCATTCTTGGTCACCACCCTCTCCTAAGCAGAAATGGTTTCACTGCACCTTCCTTCTATTCTCATTCTAATTTTTTTTGTGGAGGCATAATAGAGACTGTATCATCTTTTTAAAAAATCTATAATTTTCTATACTTTTTATTAAGTCCTCCATTTTTACAAGCCCTCTGTTTTCTATTCTCAAGGCTAATCAAGTCCTGCCGAAAGCCAGAGCCTGAGAGCTTCTTAATTAACCACTGCTTGTGCCAAGAAACTCTAGGGAGATGAGGATATTGACACAGGTGTAAGATGAGGCAGAAAATTTTCACAGGAATGAAGGCTCTTGGGTAAAGACTTATAACCATCCTGTTCCCCATCTTGTAACCATAAAAGTACCTCCAGGGATTATCTGAAGAAACATCTGAACTTTACAAGCTTAATGTTACTGCCTGTAAAATGTAATCATTAATCTCAAAATCTTGCACACCAGTCAGTTGTCAGGGAAACAGCTTCCAGCCTGAATAGGTTATTTCTCCAGTGTATGTATAAATAGCCTGGATTCCTTGGCTCAAAGGAGACCCAAACTCTGTATTTGACTCTTGGCTGGTTGTGCCCAAAGGAACATCTGCATCGTTGCCTTTTTACGGCATAAACTCCACCTTCTGCTCCATTCAGGGCCTCCCCTCTTGGCTTTCCTCTAGTTTGAGTTCCTCCAGCTCCTATTCCGGTCTCCAGTTATACTAAGTTAAGGGTACTTTCCAGAACACGCAGGTTTTCTCTTATGTCTCCAGCACATGCATGTGAATTCCTTTCTGCCAGGAAGCCCTTTCCCCCTCCCTCACTAGATCAGCATCTCCTCATCCACCAGCACTCAGCTCAGGTGCTGCCTGCCCTAGGACACACTCTCTAATGCCCCAAGTCTATGTTATTCCTCCTCCAAGCTCCCAGAATGCTTTCCAATTCTCCTTGTCTTAGCATATA